TTCAGTGAAAGATGGAGCAAGACTCTACTAAGGCATGCACGAATTCATTTGCTTATAATATTAACCTTAATATAAGATCAAGAAACAATCTTCTTTAGACTGCCGACGGATAAACACCTTTGCTGTTATATATGCAACAGTTGTTCGATATATGTGTAATATAAGGCTAATGTTCATATTTCTATATGTAAAGTTCATCTGCTAACATGTTCTGTCTACATACTATGTATGTCAAATTTATATGTTGATCAAAAGCCGATCTTTGAGAACTAAATTTAGATAATGTACATACGCATGTAAGATGATGAATGTTCTCACATCTGCTAATCACATTCACATCTAAATTGGTATACATTTCGGGGTTAAATATCTTCTAAAATTCCTCAAATAAAAAATAACCTCTACCACGATTGTTGTCTTGGCTACGCACTCGACATATACATGTGTACAGATATAGTCGTATGTATGTATGTATGTGTTTTCGTACTTGGCCACGGCTGGCGAATGCAGAAACATCCGAGGCGTATGACGGGCGTTACGACGCGACGCGTCGCTGGCGTCGCGCTCTGGCCTAATGCTGCCGCTGCTGCTGCTGCTGCTGCTGCTGCTGCTGCTGCCGCCCTGTCGACCAGTTTTCATTCCGTTTTTGGCATTCACGGGCTGCTGTCGCTGTCGCTGTCGTCGTTGTCGTCGCCGTCGCCGTCGGGTCAAATTTGTTTTCTATATTAGCGCCGTGTTTGTGAACCTAAAACTGAGCTGTTGCCGACAGCAAAAAATATATCATACGGTTCCATATGAAACATGGACATTATTGTTATATAGATTTCGGAAAGTAACTGTGATTTGTATCTGCCATAAATATTGTATCAATAATGAGCTTGCCTGCGCGTCGAGTGTTCCCATCGGAGTAACTGCGTGCGAGATACGCCATTTATTAATTCGACTCTGCGAGTTTAAAGCCCAGCTCACAATATGATAACATGACTTTATCTTATGTGGATATGCCTGCCGTAATTGAAATTCAGGTGCGTAACACTCTCAAGCTGCAAATGCCGGATTTTGATCCCAGTATTAGACAGTACAATTATTGCCGAAAGGCCGACGGCAATAGAATATTGTGCCTGCATGCAGAATGGGCGAATGGCTTGGTCAGACATGGTTCAGAACAAGGGAGGATATTAGCAATAAGAAATAATATAAATGTCTAGGTAATAAGCTCAGCATTTGTCTTAGCTAAGCCTACAAAAATACTCCAAAAATTATTCCTATTTTTCAGTTAAAGTTTTCTTGCAATATATGTTATATATATTTGATATGAATTATAACTTCTTGAACCTTGGGTTATTTACTCCAGGACTATAATTAGAGAAAACAAAACATTCAAGCCGTAAGAAATATCTGCCTTTTTTTTTTAATTGTAGAAGACGTTGCTGCCATGCAAGCACAACCTTTAGATAAAGTTATCCCTGGAATGACTTATATTTTAACAAACTCAACATTAAAAATTTGGGAGATATAAATGTTCGCATTGCGCCCGCCCCTGTGGGACATGGCAAAACTAATTTTACACCTTGACTGACTGACTCGGATATGTATATATTTTAGGTTCCAGGGTTCTAGCTTCCTTAGGAGAGCGGCAACTGCGTTCAATCAGGATGGATTACATAGGACTAATAAACTCTTGTTTGTCTGATTGAATTCAAGCTTTAAAATTCTCGACGAAATTATACTTTTCACGATTTTATCATTAAAAACATACGCTCTCAAAAAACACACATCTTCGTCTTTGGTTTCGCAAACGAACAATCTTAAGTTTAGCTAATTTCTATGATAAGAATTTGTTTTGTTTAATTCACAAAGCCCTTTGCATAGTTGATTATCGTAATCTTAATAAATGAAAGAGTTTCGACTGATTGACAGCCTGCCTGATTGATTGCTGACAGATTACAGTAAAAACTGTCTTTGATAGTAAACTAATTTTGTATGTGAAAACTGTTTTACGAAATTCTTCAAATTTAGAATTAAAAAAAAAAGAATTTTATATTGAAATAACTTTGTAAATGTTTATGCAGACGTGCTTCGGACTAGCTTAAAATTTAAGAACTTACTTTATTATGGCAAAAACAATTTTCTTCTGACGGGAAATGTGTGGATATTATCATGTCTTATCATATATATAATATATGTTGCCAATGACTTTTCGATTCCCTTTTGAAACCCTTGCAAAAGTATTGTTATTTTTTAACACAATGTGTAACGCACAGGTGCTGCTGCCCATAAATAATGCTCTTTGCTGATCAGTATAACAGATGTTTGTCTGTTTGTTTATATAGAAAGTATCTTCAGGCTTGGAGCTATCTTTTTGAAATTTGGCAAAGTTTGGAAAAGTATCGGAGTTGCCCGGATCGGATTACTGTATTATAAAGCTGATAATAATTGAAACAAATCTATATAAATAAATGGAAAGCGAAATCCGTAAAACATTCAACATAACTAGAATAGAATTACCTTTGCACAAATATAAAGCAAATCAGAAGTTCTCAAGACTTGGGCTGCATTCAATCTGATTAGAGCTACTTTATCGAATGTTCATATACAAAAATATTCTCACTGCCACCAAATATGAAATCTATATGTTTTTTATGAATTCCTAAATGATTAATATTGCGCCCAAATGTGTAGATAAAGCAAAGCGTAATCTTACTTACCGCGTGTTTTACAACAGCATCAATTCCAAATTAAATTCTTTGAGAATTCCACGTCCATAGAAACAATCGGATATTCGAAGAACCGAGCTGTCAATCCGTCCCGTTGCCAATTACAAGCGAGGCCTGGAAATAGTTAAAATATTATAAAGTATTAGTATTTATTTAGTTTTCCCCTCAGTAATAAGTTTACCTTTCTATTGCTATGATGTGTGTCAGGTTTTCCGAATTGTTAAGCCTTTTACACGCAAGATCAAAAATACATTTGAGTATCCAGGTAAACTCCTTTAGCTGACCTAGTTTCCTCCATCGCGATCGCCTTCTTCATTGCTAAAACCTCCCTTGTGAAAGCCGCCTTCTTCTCAGTGAAGCTGGCGCCGCCTCCTCCTTCTTATTGAAGGCGCTTCCTTCATGTTGAAGCAGGCGCCTCCACCGTGTTGAAGGTGCCGTGCCCTCCCTCGTTGAAGCCGTTGCCGTTTCCTCCCTGCTAGAGCCGCTTCCTCCTCCTAGTGGAAGCCGCCTCCTCCTGGTCGAAGCCGCCTACTCCTGGTCGAAGCCGCCTCCTCCTAATCGAAGCCGCTTCCTCCTGGTCGAAGCCGCTTCCTCCCGATTGAAGCCGCCTCCTCCTAGTCGAAGCCGCCTCCTCCTAATCGAAGCCGCTTCCTCCTGGTCGAAGCCGCTTCCTCCTGGTCGAAGCCGCTTCCTCCTGGTCGAAGCCGCTTCCTCCTGGTCGAAGCCGCTTCCTCCTGGTCGAAGCCGCTTCCTCCTAATCGAAGCCGCTTCCTTCTGATCGAAGCCGCCTCCTCCTAGTCGAAGCCGCCGCCGCCGCCGCCTTCACTACTGAAGCCGCCTGCTGCTTGCTGAAGCCCTTACTTAAATTTATGAGAATCGAGTAGGAGAGCATTTGATAAAAATACGTTTTTTTTAAATTTGCAAAATTTTTACATACACACATGCACATATACAGATTACCATGCACTTGCACACTTATATACATACAAACGTGCTTAAATGCACGTATATATATACATACACATATTCATACATACATTCATACTGTCAACCACAAATGCACATACATGCATACATGCGCCTATATATACATACATATATGCATACCACATACACATACATATGTTCATACCTGCATATATACAGACATACGTGCACACATAAGCCCATACACACATATGAACGAACACCCACATGTATACATACACACATGCATAGACACATACGTAACTATACGCACATACATTAATACATACATACATACATCCATACATATATCCATTCATACATTAATACATACGCACATACATACATACATACATAAATGCATGCATGCATACATACATTGATACATACATACATACATACATACATGAATACATACATACATACATACACACATACATACATACATGCATACATACATACATAAATACATTAATACATACATACATTAATACATACATACACACATACATACATTTATACATACATACACACATACATACATACATACATACATACATACATACATACATACATACATACATAAATGCATGCATACATACATACATACATACATACATACATACATATAAACACACACACACACACAACTTTATTTTGTGTAACTTGAACTCAATAACATTTACGGAAAAGCCAATAGATCATTTTTTTCCGGCCATGTAAGACTTTTGGTGAAAAGCCGAAAGGTAAACTCATCACGTGTTATTAGAAAGTTTTTCACACAGATTTCTGAAAATGATTTTTAAGTCAATCGAATGTTGAACGGAAAGCCTTTATACAGCTGTATTCCGCCAATTTACCACAGTTGCGGGTGGAATTACCGAAATCGCTGAAACTCGTATTTATTAGGAAGCCATTCGGACAAAATTTAAAAAATGCTCCCAAAAAATCTTTGAATCGCAACGAGGAAGCTTGGATTCTGTGAAAAATGTAAAACACGTCTCAGCCGAAAACTTCACCCACCAAATCTTTGACCTCGATATCCACCAAGGATGAAGGGATTTTCCGAAAAATATGAAACAGAACTCAAATGAATTTGAACAAAGATCTATGCAAACGAATGCTTGAATTCGATCATAAAACTATTTTGCTACCTCCACACAAACGAGTGGAATCCCAATTTTTTATAGTATCAGATTCCTAGCTCTTATGGTTTGGGCTATGCATTGATCATCAATCAGTCAATCAGGACGTACAGCTTTATCTCCATAAATACTAACCATTAATGTACGAAAACGTATTCTTTTATTAAAACAGGAACGCCTTAGTGGCCATGGTAGCTTGGGCCTGTCAAGTAGTAGCCCGGCCTATACAACCCATTCAGGTGGGCATTCAGGTAGAGGAGGACCAACGTCCGGACACAGTGGACACAGCGGCACCCATGGGTCGGCAGCTACCATGCATCACCAATCACTGCAGTCTGATTTTCAGCCCCCGTATTTTCCTCCACCTTTTCATCACTCAGCTCAAAGCCCTCCTCAGCAACAGGTAAGTGCTCCAAATTGGGTCGCCAGGCGAGTCGGACGTATCATTGCCAAAATAGTTTAGATATCTGGCTATTTGCAGAATCATGGACCGCTCGAGTACTTAGGAACGGATCCCTACGGCCAGCCGCTCTCCTCATTGCACCATGCACCCCTTCATCACTACAATCAGTTGGCGGGCCTCAGGTCCACACAGGATCAACTGGGTATTCACAGAACTCATAGGGACGACTTGCAAGGACATGTTGTAAGTATTTAGTGTAAACAAAGCAAATTATAGACAAAATAGTTAAAGCACAAATCCTTATTGGAATTTTTAAAATAAAGTCCCCAAATATCTAAGAAAATCATTTCTATGCCCAAAAATTATACACTTTATCATAATAAAGAGTCGACAGACAAAGGAAAGAGATACATTTTTTTACTAACTACCAAGATATAGTTCTGGCAATACTCTTAATATTTATAGGATGAGACACATTAAATTATTCCGAATTAATAAGCATTTTAGAGTTTATAATTCAGCTAGCTGCAATGGAATTCCATCTTCACCACAAAGCTGAAACTTTCTTATTTTATCAAGCTAGCAATTTATTACCCAGAACTTGCTGAATACTTCACTTTTCGAACTTGCAAACATACTCTATAATAAGCTTGGCAGTTGAAATTTCCCCATCTACGTCCATTGGCAGAGTTATGGCATTTTGAATTCCATTGAAGTGCATTATGAAAGACAACAAAAAATAAATATGCTACGAAGCATTTAAAAAATTTTCTTGGGATTTCGCTGAAACATCTTGAAAATAACAACAAAAATTCCTGGCCCAAAAGGAAAAGGGTTTATATACATGTACGTACATGCAAGCAGCATGTACGTTTGTATGCGAGCCGCATACTCTTACACTTCTGCGTGTCCTTAACGAACTGTGCCTTTGCAACCACGGCCAGGGCCAGGGCCAGGGCCAGGCGAGGGCATTCGCTGGAAAAGGCGTATCCCCTGCAGAGCTTGTGCGCACAAACACGCACGAGAGGCACACAAATACATGATTGCCTAAACACTGGGATTGGCTCAGTTTTTCGGTGGCTTCAACCCCAGGCTTTATGCCGGCAAAGGTCTGCCCAAAATTTTAATTAATGCAATTTTTTTCTATTTGCAATTTGCAATCGAATTTCAGATACAAATACTCCAAACAAATAAATAAATAGGCTAAACAGTGTACAAGTAAAACCCAGATATCCTAGTCAAAGTTGAGACTAAGTACAATTTATATATTCTTCCATCTTTTTGAAATATTATATTATATATGACATCCAAATATGTGTAAGATCCAAACATATTAATACTCCTTTCTCCCCATTTTCAAAGAGTTCAGAGTATAAATAAAAAACTTTAAAGAGATCAATTGACCAGATCCTAAAGATTATATATCCCTCTCTCCAAATTATATACTAATATATTAGGCATATTTTCTTGTTAATCATATAATTCATATATGCATGAATTCCTTTGCCATCCCCTTCTTGAAGAAGCCATTGTCATGTTAATAGAATAGAGACTAAAATATAATTTATAACTACAAAATTCTCCTTTCTTTAGACCCAACTATCCCATGGTTTTCCGTACACGGAAAGAAGAAGTGATTACGGCAGTGCAATATCAGCAGGAGCAGCACACGGCACCAGACTTGGACATGAACACGAATCTCTGGCCTTACATCAAGCGCTGCAGAATGCGGTTGATGATGTCCAAGCTCCTGCCCTGGATGACAATGTCGCTTTCATGTCAGACTTACCTCTGATAAAAAGTAAGTTTACACATATATGAATACTACTAGACGGTCTTACCCGGCCTTGCCCGTGGCAAGTCTTGTGCTTCACATTTTAGAAAATTTTTTTTTTTTTTTGGGACTTTCCGAAAAGTGTGAAACAGTGTGATGTTAGACAAAAAACCTTTATCAACCCTATTCCACAAATTTTCCACAGTTGCGGGTGGAATGACCCCAAAGTATCATTAAATCGCATTTTCCACACAATGATGCTTGTATTCTGCGAAAAGTGTGAAACACGTATCAAATGGATTTTCATAAAGATACTTGGCAATGAATTTGAACGTGATACTACACCCGCCAAATCTTTTATCCCCATTTCTACCATAGAGAAATGGAGAGATATAGCCAAAATCGGATTTCCATATAGATTCTATTCAATTGCATGGACTCAGGGGTTCTGTGGTTTATAAAAACGAACAGATGTTAGACGTACATGGCTAGATCGACTATATACATATGGGGTTGGAAGTTGCACAAAGCCATTATACCCTATTTTTTTATGCGTTCAGTGGGTACGAGAACAGAGTACTATAGTTGTGCTGATTTGAAACACCCTGTGCTGTCGTAACACACACAGTCACACATACAGATGGTTCACGCTGCGCCCCTTAGGCAAAGGTTGGGCTTCTCCCTTAGCCAACCTCCATTATTCATTCTTGAATAACTTCTGTAATTGGTGCCCAATCGCTATGAAAGCATGATTACGAATAAAATGTCGATTAAAGTGAATTTCTAACTACATTTAAAAAATATATGCCTAATAAAAAACTGGGATTTGAGATGTGAGTCTGAAACGAATATCGATTTGTTAACATGCTAAAAATCGATCTTGGATGTATCGGAATATTCGAAATGGATATATATTCTTGATTGATATCAAACCAAAGGGGTTTAAAGAAAGGATTTGGTCCAGGACTTCGAAGACGAATTTCCTTTGCAGAAATTAGGCAGAACCTTAATGTGATATTGCGATCCTTTCGTATTTTAATGCGGTAACTCAAAGGCGTGCGACTAACTTGCAAAATAACTCGCAGAAAGGTGAACACAGCTCAGTTGACTCGACCTTTGAAGTTTATCAATTATATTTAGTCTTCCTTAAAAGATAACCCCTTAATACAATCTACGTTTGTTGACAAAGTTACCCGCACCAAAGAAGAGTCGCAGTCTTTCGGAGACCACATTCCGCCTGGCTCGACGGGCAATAGGTTTATATGCATTTATTTCGCATGTTGCATGTTTATTTTAACTTCAAATACAAGAGAACCTAATGTTTGCTAAAAAATAGGCGGAGTGTATGGGGCGGTACCACAAACATGTGTAAATAACAATGCTGATCAACCCCTGAGCCGGATGAATATTGCGTGTGTATGCGATGAAATTGAAGCTGGCTCCTCTAATTGGCAGGATTACTGTAAAATGATCCTTACACGCTGAGTTCACACTTTTCAATTGCAAAACATATTAACACAAAGAACAATATTTTCTTTACAATGCGTTCTATATACTTTTGCTGAATGTAAAACACAACGTTCGCCCCAAATTAATGCTTGCTATAACATGATTTCTGCACAGGCATGAAAAGTGGGAAGGAGGCTGGAAACATAGGCTCCGGATCGCCCAGCGAAGTGTTCTGTGCCGTCCCGGGTCGACTCAGTCTTCTGTCAAGTACATCGAAATACAAGGTAACAATTGCGGAAGTCCAGCGGAGATTGTCGCCGCCCGAATGCCTGAACGCATCTCTACTTGGTGGTGTACTAAGGAGGTAAGGCTTCACAGCTGACATTCATGTTTGACATTGCATTTCAAATAAATGAATTTCTATCAAATAAGGGCAAAGAGCAAAAATGGAGGCCGACTCTTAAGGGAAAAGCTCGAGAAGATCGGCCTGAATCTGCCGGCCGGACGGCGAAAAGCAGCAAACGTGACACTGCTCACATCTTTAGTCGAGGGAGAAGCAACGCACTTGGCCAAAGACTTTCACTTCGTTTGTGAAACTGAGTTCCCAGCTAGACAATTGGCAGAATATATTGTGCGGCATCAAACAGAGCCCCAGGATTCCTATCGGCGGAAAGAAATTATACTTCACTCACAACAAGTAAGTATTTTCCAAACAACCTAATTAATTACCAAGTCGAGTTCTTATGGTTTTGCCCACAGATTTTAAAAATCAATAGTAAATGGATATACATATATACATATATTTTTTTTAAATCCAATACGGTGACAATATATGTAAAAAACGGAGGTAAAGTTTGAATGACATAGGCGTGTGAGCGTCGGGCTAACAAGCGAGAGGTCGCCGGTTCAAACTCGATAGGATTTGCCAAAATGTTTAGCGTAGCGGACTAACCATCGCCAAATTCAATACGAAGTTTAGGGTTCCATATATTTTTAAATATCAATTAAGAAATATGTTTGTTTTGAATAATAAAGAGAATCATGGACCTAGCTCTTAACGTATCCGAGATGGACATACAAAAGGGCGGGCATGAACAGACTCAGCTCTTCGTCCTATCCTGTTTAGGATCGTCTTGCTATAAACGCCTCAGAAGATCGACCAAATGAACTAGTTGTAGTTGCCAAAATGCTGAACTTATCTATTTCTTAATACTTGTTTCTTCTAGATTACAAAAGAGTTGATGCAAATATTGAGTCAAGATCGAACCACTCACTTTGGGACAAGATCACAGCATTTGTTGGAGCCCTCAATGCAGCGACACTTAACACACTTTTCCTTAATAACGCACGGATTCGGTTCCCCTGCAATAATAGCCGTGCTGCATGCTTTTCAGGTAAACATATTTTGAACTCGATTCCCATAAAAAGAAAACCAATATAAGAAGTGTATTGCGTGTGTGAGAGATACTACTGCACTATTCTATGTATCCTTGGGACCACTAAGTAATATCTTCTTAAAAGATGATTAACACAATATTACACTCGAAAGATAGTATCGTTTGTAGTATATATTAAATACTTAACAATAACAATTGCTAATAATTAACCCTTTACAGACATTTCTGAATGAATCACTGAATTATTTGGAAAAATTGTACCCTTCGAATGGGGGCGGAATGGTATCTTCATCTCTGGATAAAAGTAAACTTGACAACGATAAAAAATGATAGACTATACTGCAACGCAAGAGCAACTCGTATTTAAAAAAGAAAACTTTTAATACAAATTTAGGTACAATATCTATTCTAATAAGTACTAAATTATTGTAAATGTATTTAGTTTAGTGTAAATTATTGGAAATTTGTAAAACCGTAATTTTAAAGTACATATTAAATGCATATGTACACACTTATTATGTATTATGATTTCTTTGAATTAGAAAAGTGAATCAACGTGTTTCCGTCAAAAGTCACCAAGGGTTTTACAACACTTTAAATACAAATATCCGGGTTTTATTTTTTAAGTAATCTACTTTTTAAATATTTTAAAATTATACAAAGAAATAAAATATGTTTTTAAAACAGTCTAAATATTTGTTAATAAAATTTAATCAAAGAAAAAATCGGAGAAATCAAAAACTTTGATCAAAACCCACATACGTACGATATTCAATGCACACTTCCGAAAATCGGAGTCCAAAAAGCCGTTCTCACTACTCTTATACATTTATACCCACCACACAAGCTGTGCTCTTAAGGCATCAGCTTTGCAAAAACCTACCTCTAGTAGAACTGTCAAACTATCTATAGTCACCCCATCGATATTCTCGATAGATTTGTAGTGTACCGACTCTACATATTATATTTTGTGGGTCAATATTTAAATCTATAATAGATTAAATATCTGTTGATATACTGGGGTGTAGTTAATCGGATCGGTCGCGGTTCTCTTTCCCCTGATTACAAAGGGGTTATTTTTAAGATTATTGTTCAATCTTTTTCAAATTCTTAGGCAATAAATATGTAACTCATTCGGACAATTCACTGCATACTTTTTGGGAAGCAATAAAACTGCGGACTATATTGGAATTCTCCAACAATTTATAGTTAATTACACGAAATCATTGGGTTTCCAATAATATATAAACTTGATTGATTTAGAATATTGTTTGGGATGCGACTTACATATATTGTCCAATTCGGCGATCAGGTGGACAGCCTGCGGGTTGGTTTAGGTGGGAATATCTGGGTAAAAGTTATCTTTCTCAATCTCCTGATACGAGGGGCCCCTTAAAGGTTGTCAGGTTGGCGAGTGCGGCTAGCCGATGGTAATGGTGTTTTGAATTTGTTCTTTGAACTGGGGAATCGTTAAGTCTCTGTGGAGTAGGTTAGTCCGCTTGGCCCCGGAGCTGTCGGCACTCCTCGTCTAATGTGAAGCATACTGCTTTTAATTAGACGTTCCAGCATCGAGCCCAGTTGCTGAGGAGGACCAATAACTGGGGATCTAGCGCAGACCATGGAGCAGACTTCGTCGGCATATGAAGCCATAAGAAGAAAGCGCGAAGACAGTTCGAGTGCATGGACGCTCGCAGTAGACATGTCTGCAGTGAAATGCGAGACAAAGATAGTATTCTACCGGATAATGTAGTGGGTGGGGACTACTCCCTCCTGCCCTTACTTTAACCCTGAAAAAACTACCCTTCAATTAGGAACGGATCAGGATAAAGTAGGCCGATGTCAGTCCGCTTTTCAGTTTTGCCAGCAGACCTAGGTGCCAGATACGCCACACAGAACAGTACGATTTTCTGTGAAACGCTTTCAGGCTGTGGTTGACCACCTTGTGAAGCTGCTCCATGGTTTCGTGGCCAGCCGAATCGGTTGCCTGGATAAAGGCGCCATAAGTCTTGCTGTGACAAGCCTTTTCCAGATCTTAGATGGCGTAGACAGGAGACTATGCGGCTGATATGACTCGGGCTCGTCCTCCGGCTTGCCAGGCTTGTGTATCATGGTAACGATGGAAATTTCCTATCACTGAGAATCAAGAACACCAAAGGACAACAGTCTCAGACAGTAGAGAGTACGGCTAGTAATGTATACACTTAATAAAGAAACTGCGTTGAAATGATCCTGGATGACAAGCAGGCGTTCGATGAAGTGAGGCAATAGCCTTCTCTTCAAGCTGAAGTCGCATTTCCCAACGCCACTTTTCAACATCCTTGATCTCCACATCACAAAGGTTGAAGCCGCTAGCCTTTACAAAAGCCCTTCATGCCAGACGCGGTCGAAAGTCTGGCGAATATCCAGAAAACAGCAGCACAAAGGAAGGCTTATACCCTGCGAGCCTCCCTAAACGCATTATGACGTCCTCGGAATCCAAATCCAATCCGATGTCAAAAGCGTTCTTGGCCAGCAGATGAAAAAAGGTGCAGAAGGACTAATAGGCCTGTAGGAGTCCAGGCAGTGTGGTTCCTAATCCATGGAAAAATCTCAGCTTACGAAAAGCAATTCCAATTTATTCCCTTTAAAAATCCTTTAAAAAACATACGCTTATTAAACTTAATACATATTTTTACAACCGTGTTGTTGTTGAGTTCGACATCCAGACATCTTCGATCCAGCTTGTATAATTTTAATTAAGTAATTGTTAAAAATGAAAAAGAAGAAATTTTGTTTGCAGACAGAAAATCTAAGCTAAAAGAATGCCAAATAGACATTTCAAGAAAACCAAAAATATATAAAAGATTATAACATAAATTATAGCTTTAAGACATTGATGCTGCCAGTACAAGCTGTCAATAAAAATGGTTAGTGCTTAGTCGTATTTAATGTTAATTAGAAATTTTACTTACCGATTCCATTTAATCAATGCCTTTGGAATGGTTTCCAATGGGTCCTTTAATAAATACCTTCGAATTCCACGAAAATATTGTTGAAGGAAAAAATCCCAATCTAACTGCTTCATATCAAAGAAAAATATTTGCCTATCAATATTTGTCATACGGTTCCAAAGGTCTTCAACATTATCAATACGAAAGTCCCAGTCCCGCATTGAAAAGTAAGCAATAACATTCATGAACTTGTGAATCTTTTTATAAGTATTGAGTAGCCTGTAAATAAGATTATTATGATAACCATTATTTATTTGCACAATATTGTGTTTGTACTCGAAAATATTATGAACCTTTGGATAATTAGAGATAAGTGTAAAGGCCTGTATTAAAAGACAAAATTTTGACTAGACTCTGAGCTACTTTTAAAATATCATCAATAATAAATAACATCTCTCGCTATAGATATATTAAGTATAGTAGAATGTCCGGGCTCGTCCCGAACACGACTCACAGCCGAAACAGAGAAGTCGCTGGTTCAAATCCTGCAGCTATTGCAAATTTAGACATTTGTTTAGCTCGGATCAGAGTGCAGTCTATTTCTGTCCCTTACATATTAACAAAATTTTATCGATACTATTATAAAGCTCCTACAGATTCAATCTTTTGAAAAAACAAACCAATATATCTTCTTGTTTTCTTACCGTGGCTTTTTTCCAAGGCACAAACATAGAATATCGATGAGAAGTGCAGGCAAATAATGCAGAAAGCAAATTGATATCATATGGGCTACCCTGTTAGTTGTATTTGAATAGCACAGATACCAAATCGCTGTCAGAGTTGGATACATTAGTCCGTACTTTGTGGTTTTGGCTGTGAATTGACCCCAAGTTAGCTGATTTTCGCTCGTCGTACAAAAATTGTAAACGGGTATATTGCCGGATGCCTTTGACGCCCTTGTAGAACTGCAATGAGAAACGTTAAGAGTTTGCACATATATATTGGAGGCTGTCATAAATTGACACCTTACTTGTGTCTCTCATATATATCCCAGGAAGCAGCTATCATGCTGTTCACGCATAAGTCGACTGGAACCATATTAGCAACTGCTTTTGGGTTACAGCGTAAAGTCCGCAGCAGCTGTTAATTGTATATAGACAACATATCAATTAATATCTGAAAAGCAAATTAAAATAAAAGAAAGCATTACCCCAGTGCCAGCTCCAGCTATTACTCCAGTTGGACCATAAAAGTTGTCTATCCACCCGCACACTGGATCCTGGTACGTTGAAATCACTGTAAACATAAATGGAGTACTACATGTTTAAATTTTGCTTCGCATTCAAGCCCACAATTGATTCAAAACATACCAATGCCAGGACGAAATACACCAACAGGAATTTGCTCGCTGCAAGTTCGAATGACATCCTCAGCTACAGCTTTAGTAAAAGTGTACGTATTTGGCCACTTTCCCAATAAACTGCAAATATACCAATTATTAATTAATTCTAAAGTACTAGACTAGAAGCTATGCTTCATTCTGATTTAAAGTAAGCTTAATTTATATTTAATATCTACGAATATTTCCCAACAGATATATATATTTTTTAAATATTTTTCGGGCTTTTCTAGTTAAAGGAATTTATTTACATGGGTGTAACGTGGTCCAACAGCTTTTCGGGCATGCACTCAGCCATTAACATAAGGCTTTTAGCATCATTTTGGATTGGATATAACTTCTCTAAAATGGTTTTTTGAGGGCAGTGTGTATAAGCCGTTGATACATGAACAACACTTTTCAGAGATTTCATCTCCTTGCAGAGCGTCATTATATCATATGCCCCATTAACATTTATTTTAATAGCTGTTTTAAGTTTTTCATCAAACCGCACGGTTGCAGCCATGTGAAAGACAATGTTGACACTCTCTACTAACATTTTCCGATCATAGATGCTTAATCCCAAGGCAGGTTTCAGACTGTGAATTCATAACAAAAAAAAAATAAATAAAATTATATTGACTTTAATTTCTTTGGGTAACTTGTCCATATACCAGTCGCCGGCAATGCCTTTTATGTGAAAACTATATTTTGTAGAATTTCTTTTGAGTATTTCAAAAACCTAAAAAATAACTTTGATTAGGGCAGTCTCTTATAATTCATAACTTGTATATTTACCGGGTCATCAAATATTTCATCCACACGGGTATCTACACTCTTGTTCTTTTTACTACGCACAAGCAAATATATTATGTTTATGCCTGGGCAGGACATAAGCAGCTTGTTTATTAAAACTGAAAGCAGACAATAAATTGAACAAAATATCAAATTAGCTGGCAAGAGTACTTATATAATAAAAATACGTTTAACTTACTCTTTCCTAAAAATCCAGTTCCTCCCGTTATTAATATATTCGATCCATCAAAAAACTTCTGTATATTTGATTCATCTTTCTCATCCAAAATGTTTTTAGTTTCCATTTCATCCATTTGCTTCGTCTACAATTAACAAACAAAAACAACCATGTTGACATGTGAATTTTAAATATTTATTTATTTAATCACTTACCATGCGGCTTATGACCCAAACAATTAGGGCTCCGAAGATATTAAAGTGTTTGTTGATAAAGCTGTTCAATATCTTAAGGGCACTGTGGCTTTACTTTGTATGCTATGCAAACTAATCAAACTTCGGGATATCATAAAAAAACCAACCAGCACTGAGCAAGTGTTGTAACTCTTTTGCTGTGTTTTCAATCCTCAGCCGTTTTTCTTGCTCAACTCTCGAGTGTTCGTCTTACATGTTAAAAACGAACTTTTCTATACACTTACTAAGAAAATTTAAGGACTATTGCAATTTTTCCGGAAAATTTAAGTGTGCAATACGCGAATTACTTTTAAAATACGCATAAATGTATATTGATATACTTAAAATAAATCATTTTTTATAAAGTTAATCACGGAATACGTAAACCTGTAAGAGCACTCAGACATTTTAGATGAATATTATTATTATAATAAAAAATAACTGTATTTCGAATTCGGGTTGCTGAATTAAGTGAACATTGTTGTTTTGTGCTGGTCATATTTACTCTCTTTACTTAATCACTTTCACTTGATGCTTCGAAAAACCTGATATTGAACAGCGGCACAAAATATGCATCGCAAAGTACAATGGTCACGGAGTGAACGTTTTAGCATAAAATTTTTGAAACAAAACTGCCTATAAATTTGGCATACTTGAATATTTTTAGACTACAGTATCTTTAGCTTAATTTGCTTAATAATTTTCCATTTATTCGTATAAATCTGTTTGTCATGACTGACAAGTTGTGTGACTAGTTACCAACGTACAAATATGTGATAAGTATTTATTAACTAGCTGACGCTATGGGCTTACGTCGATTAGTAATTAAGCCCAAGCTGATGGTTGTGGGCTTAAGTCCTCGGAAAAGCTGGAAAGAAGGAAATTTGCTGGTTGCTTGATTAGTTTTACTGCAAAAATGTGCCATTTTGTGATATGGTGTTTTTTCCTTCAATAGTTACCTGTTATGATGTAAGTACGTGTTTACCCAGTTGGGAGTATTCATCTAACGGTTAGGAGGAAACTGTCGATTGAAGTTTTTATACTCTTACAGAGGTTACGATCATTTTGTGGCAAAATGTGTCACGCATAAATAAATCTAGTGCTGTAATTTTTGTTTTTTATCATCTACAATATATATTATAGCTAGAATATATATATTTTAACAAATATTGACAGCGGTAAAATTATATATGTATCATGTATCACCTTTATTAAATACTCGATCTAAAATCTCAACAATTTGTTGCTTTTACAATATCTTGACCATGTTATGTGCTCTACTTTCTTCTTGTCTAGTCGTATGCCTGCAGATTCTTGGACATCGGACAACCGAATCATCTAGCTTATAAATAATCGGAAGAAGCTGTAGTTATGAATAAAATACTTTTAACGAAACATACCGCCCACTTGCTAAATGACTGCATGGGTATTAACAATTTTGTTACTGTTAGCTGTTATCTCTAGGTTTAACTCCTTGTGCATTACCAGTTTCGAAAATTTCAATTGCAATTAAAATAAAATTTCAGTACTTTCGGAACGGGCCCAAAAGCTAGACTTATATTTGTAAAGGAAAACGTATAGTCGCTGTCTAAAGTTCGCAGCTTGGGTCTTGTATGTGTAATTTTGTTTCTGTTAATAAGTTTGTCAGTGTATCTTCAAGTCAGTTACTATCGGCTAGAGCAAGCTTACAAGTTTTAATTTAGATTTGGCTTAGCTATCCATACATAACATGGATAAATATTATAATTAGTCTTTCTACTTAGCCTATAATTGGTTCATATTAATAAGCAACAAAAGTTCTCTCAACTATTTCAAACACACTAACCTCAATAAAAGAACAAATTTACTTAGAATCTTCCCAAAATGACGAGATTGGTTTCCAATGAAGTATATTTTTTTTATTCTCGGTCAGCATATCGGCTTTTCAGTAACTTATACAAAAACTGGCGAAATCGCCCGTAGAAACTGGTCGTCGAATTCCTTTTCAGAGAATCTCTCAACAGAGGACCTGAAATGTAAAAAAAGTTTAGAACTTAACTTTCATTATTTAATGCCACAGTACGCACCTTGCCGCATAAACAATATTTTGATTTGTCTCTGCAGAGTTAAGTATTATGTTTAATATGCTAGCTGCATATTCAACCGCCTCCGTTGCAAGATACCCATTTTGAGAGCCTTCAGAAGTCTCAATAATATCGAGCAAAGGGCCACCAGACCTATGAGCAATCATTATTATACCGGCTGCCATACATTCAACGATTCCAATGCCGAAGTGCTCATTGTACATAGTGTGTATGCCAATTTTTGCACGTTTGTATATGTTTAGGAGTTCGTCATATTTAACATTAACCTTGAACTCGACTGAATTCTCAAGAGACAAATGTTTTGCGAGATCCTCCATGTTATGCAGTCTCTCATAATCATCTTCATGTCGGCATGATCCTACTATAGCAAGTTTAATTCGATTCCACAGTGCTTCATCTCTTGCCAGCAGCGTCCTTAACTCATACAGAACTTGCAATTGTAATGGATGATTTTTTTCGGGGCGAAATTGCCCAACAGAGACTATTAGAATTTCTTCATTGTTTTCTATATGCTCAAGACTCTTTAGATGTTTTATATCACATGGCGGATACACACGATGAGTTTTTAATGGAACATTCAGCAAATCTACGATATGATTCTCAGTCCATGTTGAATTCACCAAAATGGTTTCTGAACAGCAGCTAACCCACTTGTAGGTCTGAAAATAAAACAAGGCAAATATATCTTGTCTGTTATCAACATCAATAGTTATTTAATATTAATACACATTATATATGCGATATAGCTATAAGGAATCAATCCATAACACAGAGGAGGCATCTCCGACCACATAACGATGAGTATATATACTCTTGATAAGGATCAACAGCCGCGTTAATAATGTCATGTCCGTATCTCTGTTTCTATGCGAATCAGTCCCTTATTTTTCCTGCCATTGTCCTGAAACTTTGCATTGGTCCGTCCTTCTGTTAGAGGTAGTAAATATGCCGAAACCAGTAGCCTCGGACCACCGTCTGGACCAAACTCGGCATTTACTAGTTGCACTATGTGTAAGCAATATACCCCATAATAAATTCCACTAACATCTGACCACTATATCAAATAGCTGATATGATATCTAAGCCCAAACTCTGCATTTAGTAGTTGCACAATGCTCTTTTCACTATTTGAGCCAAATTTAGGAACCGTCCTTACTCATTTTTTACTGACAAATTTGGTTAAAGCAACACTTCACCAATAAATTTGCCTGTGATTTGAAACCGGGTTTCTCGTGTTCTGGATGACCAAGAAACTCACAGAGCTTGTCTACCCGAACTTGACCCTATCATTGTCAATGCTTCAACACGATGTCACGTGGAAAGTCACCTACAGGCCGAAATATGTTCTTATCTGCGCCTGCCTCACTAGCACACGTCAGCAACACAAGAAAACCAAACGCAAAAGAAGCGACACTGATATCAGAGCCAGCGTCAGCGACTTGTAAATGTGCACTTACCTTTGAAAGCAAGCGGTAATAGTTAAGCTTTATCCACGTTAGGAAGGGATTACGCGCAACATATGCCTTGTTGTTGAAAGATGATTGGCGATATTGAACTTTCTTAAGCATGTCTGTGCTTATCAGGGGATAATGAACATAACAGGCTATTCTACTGCCTGCCAAGAAACGGAAGACGGGGTACGTGTAGGCATATCCCATGGTATCAATAAAGATATCTGGTGGAAACTTGCAGACAGCCTCTATGCCTAAGGCAATTGAACCCAAACTTTGTCCCAGCAAAGTAAAGTGTGGATACTTTCCCGCTTCAATCCAATGCCGTTGCTTTAAGTATACAAATGATATGTGTTCGACTTCGAGCGAGATGTTGAATACATTTTTTGCTTTTTGCAGAATTGAACTGGGCGTTGCGTCAATATCTCCTGTGTAAATAACTATCTTGATGTTATCGTACTTGTTCTAAAACAAAACAAAGTTCTCTTAATATTTGCGGATGATGTTCTAATGTAATATAAGCTAGTTGTACCTGCAAAGCCCTCACTGCACACCACAAAACGCGCTCCCCTCCGCCGCCGGCGTTACAGTATGGATGAAATATGCCAACATGCAATCTATTTTCCGATTCAGGGCAGTGCAACTTTTTTTTGTTGCGTAGAATCCATTGACGTAGGCAAAAGAAAATAGTTGCGGCAATACCTAGCAGCCATATCAGCACCCAGAATCTGTTGCGAAGTAAGCTTTTTAAATTAAGAATTTAGTTTTCTCTATGCATGAGAATATGCTCTTACATCAGAACAAACACCATATTAGTTATTTTATGTTATTTCTTCAGTTAGTCGAGGCTTTATTGGCGGGAGGGATGCCTCGCCTGTGACGAATGGGAAACGTAAGTTCAGAACCTTATCTTAATAAACAAGAATTAATTACATGCGCAATAAGTGCGTTGTTTATTATTTTGTGTTATTGATTAACTTCATTTCTGTTGTTTTTTAGTATGAAAATCCATTGATTTTTAGAACATGGTCGTTGTTTTGATTACAGGTACTCGATACCATCCGGTGTTTTTAAGTACTCGATACATATGCAATAATCGTTCCACTTTTAAAATAGCAGGCACTTTCCCTCATTTCTTCGTGCTGTTTTTGTCTTCCCCTTCATGCTATCCATTGACCACAATAAATTTCTATATTATCCATATTCGTTTTTAAAATAATCTTAAAATTGTCTTTCAAAAAAAAAACTCACAGCTGATTGGAGATTGGGATTTATCGATAACTGTGCGCAGTGCCATTCAATTTACGAAGTTCATAGATATTACAAGATCTTTGGGATCTCTTTATCAGACAAAAAACTTCTTGTGTACAATTAATGTGACAGCCAAATTTTAGTAGAATTATAAAAGTATTACTTCATTATATTTAATATATTTTACTATGTTTTACTATATATTGACGGCCAAGATTTTGCCGCACAATTTTGCTTATGGGCAACCCTGTTCGTGCAGGTCTTAGATTAGTGATTATGGGCAACCACATCATTAAATATTTGGGAGTGTCCCTATTGATAACTTAATACATTTTTCCATCACTGAAAGTTCTTAACAATAACAGCGGTAATATGGATTACGTTCGGTCAATTTTGGAATGTTTAGCATCTATTTGTAGTTGTTGGCACTGTACAGACGACCTAGGCAACCAAGTAAGTTTATATATATTTAAAGTTTTATGATCAGATATAAGTAAATTCGTTCTTTTAGGGCATTGAACCCAGTGAAAGGACTCATCTTCTGGCAGACTCGGTCAATCAAAGTCCAGCTTTGCGACGAAGCAACTCTGCTGATTTGAGCAATGATTGTTCTCAGTCGCTGCCAAAGAAAGACGACCAAAATGCCTTGTCCAGATTGGTGCAAAATACTGCAATGTACGTGCAACGCAAATATGTTTGCAAAGCTGTTTTAATATTTCATTATAATGCACTTTAGTAACATGATCAACGTTGGTGCGCTGGATTCTCACACATTGGAACATCAAGAGTACACGGATAGAATAAAACTATACTCACAGCGCCTTCAGCAGCTATGGAACAACATCCAGCACCCTGGTGTGGAGCAGAAAGGTTTGATATTCCAGTATTACTTATGCCGAGAGCGTGACGACAGATGATGAAACAAATTATTTTTAGTCCGGTCACTTGGTAATAAATGCGTTTAAAGAGAACGCAAAGAATTTTGCTAGATATAAAATCAACAGGTTCCAGATAGTTTATTCAGAGTTTGTTGCTTTATAGTAAGGCCCAATTTTTCGGCTACTATCTCCATCTATTGATTGCTCATAAGTGCGTGACATAAAATGTAATCTATTTTATTGTATACCAGATACCTCTGGCCCTTCTACCAGCTATAGTACTACATAATTACAAACTGCTTAAAAAGTAGATAAGACTAAAGTTTTTATAGGGAATATATATATGAGAAAGTTAGCTAAATTATAAAGTTATTGTATTTAATATATGCAAATCTCATCCCTAGTCTCAGGTGTTTGTATATATACCAGTACTTATTAAAGGGGTTACACATAAATATATACTGTTTCTTATTTTTAATATAATATAATGAATATTGTAAATAATGCTTTTTTTTTATTTTAGGCCTTTTAAAAGATATACCAAACTATCACACTTATTTGTCGAAAGTCATTTATCCAGATGATACAGCTCAGGTAAGTAAATCATGTATTCTCACTAATTTTTATAAAATTTTTAGGGAAACATGTAGAATTTAAAATTGTTTACTAGATATCAATATTTTTAACCAGCGAACGCTGGGTAACGCAATTATTTTATTTTATTTGATTTATTATTCCGGCACAAACATGGGATATCAAGCTCTTGTACATTGACGTTGTATTTGCATAGTATATATCTTCTTTAGCAGGACAACAAACTGAGACGTCCTAGCCATGTCCATCTGTCTGTTTGTGTGCGTGATCGCGCCATATCGGTAACTTTATGAAGAAACTTTATATAGAAACTTCAAATTTGATATATTCTCATTTATCATACGGGTTTTTGAAAAATGAAAGAAGGAAAATCTACATTCTTTACTTGTAGTCATTTATCTTCCGGCCTTGTAGATATGTGAGAAACGAGAGCTCATAAATGCTGACTTTGGTGAAAATATCTTGGAAAACAGTATCGTTTTGCCTGCAAAAGCGCATTTTTCGTTCGAAACTCTATAATATATAAGTCCTATATAAGTCCCTATAAGGTGTCTCGTGGCTAAGCAGCATAGTGAAACTATTAAATGCCGGATTTATTCCAGATGTCTAGATATACAACATTTGTTCATACAAGAAAGTAATTTTCGACCGAGTGTTCCTATGGCAGCTATATGATCATATTTTGCATATATTTAAAAAGAAAAATGGAACAGATCGTTCCTTAAGCAGCTTTATGATACTAATTATTATATTATGCTTATTTCTTTTTTTTTCAGATGAGAATATTTATTGAGAAATCTCACGCTGGAGTATTAGGAATACAAATTGATCATAGAGAGGCGGTTGTTGTTCCGTTTCAAATCCCCTAAACAAAAACAGCAAGATATAATTTAATGTTAAGATGTATTGTACTGTTAAAAATATAATTATTACCACACACCATTTGTTCTATTGTGGTTTATAACAATGTCATACGAATTTGTTTAAGCTAATCGGTACCATGCAACAGCATATGATCGCGTTTGATACATTTAAACATATACATGTTATACATAATTCGTAGCTTCAAAAACAAAATGCTTTTGCATGCAACGACCGCGCCCATGGAAGGCATACGAAGTAGTTGTGTATCGTGGCTAAAAAGTAAGTTTTATTGTAATATTTTGAAATATATTTCTATGTTGTATATTATTTGTTTTTATATATATCATTTTATTGATTTTATTTCTAAAGCTTCTGAGATTGTAATGATGGCCACTGTCGCTTATAAGCACCAAATTACCTAATACCAAAGCGCCACGCAAATTATTTGTTGGTGACAATATTCTTCTATGAAAAATTCGAAGTGATTCCAATGTTGTTCAGACTCCAGAAAGACTATCGGATGCTTTCACAATGAGATACAGCAAGGAATAGTACTAGGTTAATCAAGTGGAAATCAACACAGTCGAGATACGAGATAAGGCAGATCTTCCACTAATGATCAATGATCCTTGTATTTTCAATCAATGTAAGTTACTTGATGGACAAAGACTTAAACTCTGATCAAGAGTGCTTTGCCACAACAATTGCATACTTAACTTACATTAGTTAAAATAGTACACAAATACATTAGTTTTATTTTTCTTATTAAGTTTTATGTTATTAACGTGCTTTTAAAATGTCTTTTGATTTAAATCATAAGTATTGGATATCTACTTCAAAAGAAATCGGCCAACTTTTAAAAAAACAAAATCGCCTAAAAACAATTGATCCACCTGAGGATAAAGCAATATCGTTCAAAATATTTTCTGAGCTCTATGTCTTATACGTGGAACTTGTTAATAAACTTAGCTTTATTTACTTTAACACATTTCAAGTACAAAAACGGGCAGTGGTCAGAACTCTGGTTGAAAATGCCACCCAACAGCTGATGTTACTCAAAGAGGAGCTAAAGGAAATGGAGCTAAGCGAATATATTTATTTAGACAAAGTATTAATTGCCCGAAAGCTTACTCCGCGCGATTTAATGATATGGAGGTCGCCGCAATTCTTGTATCGCCGTCCATTAGATATTCAGAACATATTGTCAAATAATAAACTGTATATGAACGATCAAGAAAAAGAGGAAAATGATGCCAAGGACTGGAGCAAAGTTTCCGAAGCTGTAGAACTCATACAAGCACACGAAAGAGCACGGCAAGCTCGTGTTTACAAGTCCAATATAAAATATGACAAAAAAAAATACCTAGAGGTTAAGCAGAGAAAAAAAGTTACCTACAGGTTTACTTTTAAGCCGAATCAAGCAATGAGCATACCCGTTAAAAGAACTTTATTCACCGCAGATTTTATTAAGACTGACGAATCCTGTAAAGATTTAAGGGATAAAAACGAAAATAGAGAGGAAACTAATGATGGTAAATATATTTTAATCGAACAATCTGCATTAAAAAACACGTAAGAATGCTCTATTCGGGAGTGCCCGACTAGAAGATACCCAAATCCCATCGTATTGCAACTTAAGCCAGCTAGCTGGTTTTAAAATCTACGAACTTAGAGGTAGCTTAGTGTGCAGCGAGCTTATTTATGCCATCCATAACCGAAGATCTCTTACTCAATGGGTGTCAGTCATCTGAGGAACTTATGTAGATTCGCTTTTTACTTTTTACATCCTCTAGGGGCGGAGAAATCACGTTAATCCTTATCTCGAATGCTTATAAATACATTTTTATATATGTTTCAGAGAGTGAAATGGAGCGAATTAACATGTTACGAGATAACGCAGCTCGTTTTATTCAATCTTGGTGGAGAGCCTACAAAACCAAAAAAATTTATAAAATTAAGAAACAATTTAAAAGGGAAATGCTGGGCATTAGAAAAACACGTAGATTAAAGAGACCAAATACGTTTGCGAATTCGGTTCTAGAGATGTATAAAAATGAACAAAAAAGGAGGAAACTTGACGAAGATTTTGAAAAACTAATTATGGACGAGCGCACACGGCTTCTTCAGATGCGCTCACCTTGGATGATGGAAGACATTTCCGATCATATTCGAGCTTGGTTCGAAGAATTGTAAGTACATCCAAATAAACGAATAAACAATGTTAGGGTAATCTGAAATAATTTAGCAACTTCTCGACTTGGCTCTTTCGTTCGATCTGTGCAATTCTCGCGAATGAAAACCTATTCCTTATTTATAAAATACGTACTTTTTAAGGTTAGTCCTTGCTTTGGTATGAGTACACATCAAATTGATTGATTAGTGAATATAGGAGTTATTCAATAAACTAGTCAATTAATTTTACGGCAACTCGAAGCTGTGCTTTGGGTTTTTTCCTAGTCGAACACTCTCACTGGCTACTTACTTTTCTATCTGATCCACAGCTATAACAAAACGGGGAATTTTCACGCCTATCCGGACCCGGTTAAAAAGGGTACAGTGTTGGTTGTCATCGATGAAACTATGACGCCTATGGAGTTTCAGGAATCCCTCAACAAGAAACCAATGACAAAAGAGGAGAAGCAGAAATTACGTGCTAAGATAAAAGCGGAGAAAAAGAAATTAAGGGATAAAATAAAACAACGGAAAATGAAGGAGGCTAAGCGAAGATTGAAATTGAAGGCTGCCGGAATAATTGATGTTGGCTTTATACTTTCCGATAGCAAGCCAATAGGTATACCAAACAGAATTATATATATTTATTTCTTAATACACGATGATGCTTGGAATCGCGAATATGACATACTATGGTTTTTTTTAGAATGGAATGCTCATTAGTTGCAGAATAGTTACTCGCATCAAATATGACTACTACTAACCAAATATAATCAAATCTATTTTAAAATTTCTTTTTAACAGAAAAAATTGAAGCGACAATGAAGCAATTTTCCATTGATTGGCGAAATGTTGATGAATATCTAAATAAGAATCATGACCCAATTAAAAGTTGGGTGACCGAAGAACAATTAGAATTAATACATCACGAATTGCGGGAGTTGGTAGATGAATATATGCGGTAAGTAAAATGTTTCTGATTTATGCCTATGCCTATTTATACATATTCATTTTTGTTGTTTTCCATCAGTTTGTAGTTTGCATCTCAATATTAATCGAAAATTATCTCCTTTTTCTAGGGTTGAATATGAATTACTGAGAAAGGCTTTAGCTGTTGATCAAAATGTTCCCTATAAGCCCCAAAAGGTTAAAAAGCCAAAGAAAAAGAAGGGCAAAAAGAAGAAGAAACCCGTGGATCCGACAGGAGACAGGACTCTCAGCTCATTGTATAATGAACTTAAAGATGAGGGTGTCATTGAAGAAGTGTCTCATAAAGACTTTGATGAATTCATATCTGACTTCAATTTTACGGCGGATGACACGAGAGATGAAGACAACTTAACGTAAGTCCTTCCCGACGCTTGGTTCAGCATACTTCTAGTCGTGGCTGGGGGGCGTTTCCTCCTAAAAAATGAATATTCAAGTCTTTTGGCCTTTAAACCAGCTTCTCTCCTATAATTTCAGAACTCTTGGGCCTGCAAAGGGAGACATTAAAATGGTTATCCAGGAGAGTATGCTGGGAATGAGCGAGTTTAATATATCAAAACCAAAATCAATTTTACTCATTGGACCACTCAACAGTGGAAAGAAATTGCTGTGCAATATAATTTCATCAGAGTTGGGTACGTAAACAATTTGTTTTTAGTTCTTGATTTGATGGATCTTCAGACTTCAAAGTAGTTGTTTGGGTACATTTATTATTATTATTATTATTATTGAATATATCATTTCAGATGCTGTTTTTATAAATCTTAGTCCTGAAAAAGTTTACAAGCACGCTGATGACATGAATATGTTTCTACATATCGTTATGAAAGTCGCAAGGGAGTTTCAACCTACTGTATTATACATTGAAGAAGCGCATCGCGTTTTTTTCAAAAGGGTTCCGCCTGATCAAAAAGAGATTTCCCCAAAACTTCTTGCCCCATTTATTAATAAAAAAATCTTAAAGCCAATTAAGAAGACCGACAAAATTGTACTTCTGGGCACAAGTAGTATGCCGTGGGCGGCCAAGCCACAGCTAAAGAGATCCTTTCAAAAAGTAGTGCTTATTCCAAAATGCGACTATGGTACAAGCTTCATGCTTTGGTTAGAATTGATGACCGAAAATGCGACGGATGATTTAGAAAGCTACACATACTCGGCACTTGCGAGAGTTTTGCAAGCTTATAATTCCGGTGATATAACTAACAATATAGCTAACACATTAAATGTGGAAAGAAAAATGCATCTCAAGTCTGAAGCATTGAATCCGCGGGAGTTTTTGGAATACTTTTTGACTGAATTGGATCCTCCACTTTTTCCGCCGGAGTTAAAGGTATAGATAATCGAAATCCCAAACTAATCAAAAACTGAAACTAGTTAGGCATACAAACATATTTTATATATTTATGTTGTTCTTATAACTTCTTACCCTTCCGCCTGATGTAAGTGAATTTAAACAACATTTTGTAACATCCGATCGAAGCAAATGACACAGAGGCGGTAGAAACTTACCTTCTAAATTATATATAGACATTCATGGACTTACTATTAAGTTCACGTTTAAATTTGAACTTTACCATCCGATTCTGCTTTTTTAAGCCCATCATTTCATTTTGGGCTTAAGGCTAAATACAGATATATCTTTACACCAGTTCATAAACTTGATAAACATTGCAACATCATTAAATTGTTGTGCTAATTTCTTGAATTTCCTTTAGATGATGGAGAAGTTTAGCAAATGGTTTGGAAAATCAAATAAATTTGCGAAAATGAGGCGCGCTATGATGGCTATAAAAGAAGCAAAGCAGAAGAAGAAATAAGCAAAATTCAGCATTGATATGCAAGCTAGTATTAAAATGTGTATCATTTAAAATCAGTTCGTTTGTTTTATTATATTCAAATACCAAAAATATTCCTACATAAGTGCAGCTTTCTATCATGTCAAACTGTCAAGCAAAGCGAACAGCTTGATTACTTTGCTGGAAGCGAATTCCCAATCCTGGTATTCACTTTACAGGACACCTTCGTTGGGGAATACATGATTGTAGAAAATTGTATCGCACTCAGTAGTAAAATTAAACAACCTGGTAGATCCAGAGGCAAGATGTGTTCTAAGTGAGAAGTAAGAAGTTTCATTTAGTATCATTACCTTATACTCTAATTTATACATACATATTATTAAACAGACTATGATTATTGCTTGTTAAAATGATATGATTTTTATTTATCAAACATTTACATCGACATTATTCTAGCAGTTGTATTTAATGTTTTTAGATGTGTTTTGGCTATTTATTTGCTAGTGTAAGTAAATGTATTCCGTGCCTTAATTATATGAAATATATGAACTATTAAGACATTGCTTAAGATATTTATATGAATAGCGATCGTTTGTTTTATTTGCTTACGACTATTCTGTGTATTTCTAATTAAATTAATTATTGGTTAATATAATTTTAGGAAACAGACGGACAGTTTAATTATCAGCTTATAAGTAAATGGTACTTATATAATACAATTAATAAGTACGTATAGCTATTTCTTTTAAATTATTTTTTATTTTATTTACGGAATAATTTACATTCAGATCGATGACTGGATCAGACTATGGTTAAACACAATGTACATAAATATTATTTAACAAAAAAAGATTGGACTTAGATACATAAGTTGCTAAAATCGCTCTCTCTTCGCCATGTTCAAGTGAGCTATGCTAATGTATTTATCTATATTCTCTTAGGCTTACAAATGTTTGTATTTAGCTTAGACTATTAAAATTTTATTCAAATATGCTATATTGAAGGTTTCTACAAATTGCCTTATTTATTTGCGTATTGCACAAGTCATACATTAGGTTTACAAATTCTCTTACCGAACGAGGGTTACTCAATTATAAGTTCAAATTAGGGAATACAATTGAATTTTTTTCTTTTGTTTCTGTTAATTTAAGACGCACGGCTATCATTTTCGTGGCCCTAAATTGGCTACATTTATGTATGTGCTCTGGCGACTTGCTGTTAGATTAAATACGTATATAAATGTTAAATGGAATATTATTTTGCAAGCCCCTTTACAAAACATTTTGTGAGCCAAAAAAATTAATTTTTCCTCGTTTTTGCTTTTTGGTAATAGAGTCTCTTTGATTAAAAAGCGATCGAGTTTTATGTTAATGTATTTTGAGTAAAAAATAATCTAAATGTCAATATAATTTATAATTCTCGATCACACTGCAAAAAAGACTTTTGTGCATATTTATTATTAGTATATATCCATACATTCGAGTACGCAAATACGTTAATACCTGTGTATGTATGTATTCTTGAGCAGTGTTGTAAAATGTGCAAATGTCCTCAGATTGAAATAATTATATTAAAATGGAAATGCCATTATTAAAAAAGTTTTTGATATTTATAAAGACAAAGAATGGGAAACAAATAAAATTTTAGGAAAATTAATTTTTAAACTTAAAAGAAGCATCAATTTATAACAAATGTAACACTATGTAATAGTGGACCTCATTTTTGGTAGATTAGGTCCCCCAGAACAAGTAAATTTTTTACTAATCATTTTTGTTTGCATTTGGAAAATGTCTTAACTGTATCTTGCATTGTTATTGCGATTGAATACATACATACACAAATACAAATGTATATAGGCCAACTTTAAATTGCATAATATCTTTGATATAATATTTTATAATTTTATGAGTGTTTTTTTAATTATTTGATTCAAATTTTGTGTCGTTTTTTGTGTCTGTTTTATCTATATTACCGATTTCTGGGTCTTTGTTTTTGAAAATGGGTATGTACATTGTGAGCCGAATCACATGATTCATCTGTTTTTTCGCCCCTCAAGGACGAATACTCCTTAGTGTCAACGTCTAATTCTGTTATATTTTCGTTAATTCGTATATTGGACATCAAACTCAATGTCACTTTATATTTTGCGTTTTTCTTCTTTTTGGGTTTTTCTCTGAACCTTTTACTAGTTTGATGTTCTAAATGAATATTCTTATGCATAGATTGTTCTTTATATGATATATTATATATGGTCACATAAACAGTAATGTTTCTAAAGGGCTGCCTAAATTGCTTGACACCTGTACAAATTTTCGACTTACAATAAAATCATATCGTATATTTACTATATAGTTCCATTATATAAATTAATTTAACAGGTGCGTGACATGCTGCCTGAACACTGACGCAAAGGTACAACAAACCAAAATGTTGCACTTGGCAAAGTTACAAGTCACACATGATAATAAATGACACACATGATATTATGGATCGAAGTTAATCTCGTACAAAAGAATTGTCTGACTTAGTGTTAACTTGTGTTTGGCTTATTGCGGCAGTGTATCAGCAGCATAAGGCAAATATTTATGTTTAATTAGTTTTACTCTCATTTTCAGTATACAATTTGCGATATTCCTTGAATTGTTCGGAAAATATCATGCTTTTGTCAGTCATAAAACTTTGTTACGTAAATTGCTTAACCCGAACTGAAACATGTCTGTATTTTACTTGTAGAAACATATGAAACATGATAGAGCCCATACATTCTTGTATATATTATTATATTCATATATATCTCTTAGTTTAGCATACTCGTTAGAGCTTACTTTTGAGTAACAGAAAATTATGAAAATTATAGAATTGGAAAAATGCCGGACTCAAGCAAATCAATTTATTTCATAAATGATAAATGCATTAGACTAATTTAAATTAAGATCTATAAATGTATTGTAAAATTATAAAGCATGGTAGTGTGATGTTAATGTTGCAAAGTACACATATAATTCTAAATAATTGTATAGACCACAAATTAAAGGTAATTTGTAAAGGTTATTTAGTTGTCGTTTCAAAATTTAGATTACACTGAGAATGAGAGCATGACTGACTCTAAGAGGTACATTTTTGTTGATATTGCCTGTCATTGAAATGAATTTGCTGCGACTAAATCATTTTCTTATAATACTCGCATCGCTTTAATGCGATCTACCAACCAGTCTAGGCGGTTTGTTTCATTCTAACATAAATAATGCCTGTGGGCACTGTGGGTTAATTATATCTTGTTTTTAAAAAGCCAAGTTTGTTAATATATCAAATCTACTGATATTAAAATTATTGGTTAGTTATATTTATAAATTTACACTTAGAGAATTTAATAACCATCTAATGTTTATGATTTCCTTTCTCTTTTTTAAAGCATAGACTGATATATAAATATATTAACAAAAAGAATTCTAATGATTCAGTTAAAATCAAATGAATATAATTAACATATTTTAATGCTTATATGTATTTACATAACTTGATGAATTTCTTTTGTGATATACTTTTTTTATAATACTTTTTGTTTTTAGAAATTAAAATAAAATTGGATTCATAAATAGTGTAACAATTGAAATGTGTTATTGTATACTTCTTATATGAACATAATTTTTAATATCTACTCAATTTTATAAATATGTACATATTCTAAATACATAGTAAGGCACCTTTGAACTTATATTTGCAAATAAGTAAACATTTCTTAAATAATAATTTTTAAAGCTAATATTAAAATAACATAGGATAATATTAATACATCCATGGTCATTGATAATCGATTGCAACCGGATATTCCCATCTTGTATTCCATATCGATGTCGAGAAGAAGATCGTGATTTCGTGTATAAAACTGATGAATGTCGCTGATCTAAAAGGATTGTTTTATTTTGCTTATTTATAAGTTTATTCTCAGCATATTATTATTATTAAGTCAAGCCCAGCGCAGCTCCTAATACATCACATATTTTTACCTTAACCTTACAGATTCTACACTTTCACGCATACATTGAAGACTTATCGTCCAACTTTGACATAGGAATGGAAAAATCGTGTACTCACCTCATTCCAACCGTATTTGTTTTTGGCTTGAACAATTGCTTCGTAGACAGCATTATGTTCCAAATTTCTTACTACGTAGGACATTAGGTAATGTGTGCCGTCAGTCCGGATCGGAATAGGCTTAATATGATATTCATGCCATTTGCCAGGATGTTGGTATGTTTCATTCATCTAAAATATTTTATGCGAGCATATACATATCATTACACATATGATGGTGGGATTTTGAATATTACCAAAAGCCGTCGATACAAGAGTTTAATTTCATCCAAGGGCGGTATAGACTCTATTGTCCAAGTCAAGTTGTAATGATCTAGAAAGCCACTTAGAGCTGGCGAAATAAAATCAGCTGGCCCTGGACGTCCAGAGACCTCAATGTATTTCTTTGTTCTTCCCAGTGCATTGTCGGCAACGCAACTGTAGTTCCCAAAGTCAGTTTGTTGGAAATTTCGAATAATAAGACTATATCTGTCATCATGCGGATACATGGAACGCCGGTCAGTTGGATCCAAGAGAAAAGAGTTTTGATACCAGAGCATCTAGTCAATTGAAATAAGAGTTTGTTTTTTGTTCAATAGAACATATAAGTATGCCAGGTATTACTTACTTCAGAGTTGACATCCCCATGAACCACACAAACTAGCTCTATATCATATCCTTCGGCGGCATGCACCCATGCTTTCTCCACCGTTATTTCTGGGGGTGCTTTAATGGAAATTTAATTAATATTAAATACACTTATACACTTACAGGCCATTCAATTGGGTTAAGAGTTAGATGTATATAGATAAGCTTACATAAGATTGTCAGCTGGATATCCATTGAGACGCGTTCCTTGACCCCATTGTCAGCGGAACATTGATATGTTCCTGCGTGGTGTCTGTCCACATTTTCCAAGATCAATGTGGAGCTATCTGATAAATGGGTGGGTCCCGAATAAACGTCCTTCTTGAACCAGTATATTGTGGGAACCGGGTTGCCAGACGCCTTGCACTCCAATGTGACTGTGCTTCCTTTGCGTGCCGTCACTTGACCATTATGTGGAAGTGCTCGCAATGTCGGTGGAACTAAAGCAGAAATAATGTTATTTATTGAAATATATGTTAATTAGTAATTGCCAAATACCCAATATTTCCACCGTGTGGACCTGATCCCGATTCTCTTGGTCCCCAAGTTGGCAGATGTAGTCTCCGGCATCTTGAGTTTTAACGCCGACAATCTGTAAATTGTAGTCCGCACCAATTTTAAATCTTTGGTCTCTTGTAATTTTTAAGTGTCCAGCAGTTAGAACTGAGGACCCCTTCCTCCATAGCAATACGTATGACCCAAGATTTTGCACTTTACATGGTAATTCAATTGTTTCGCCAACTATAACCTTGTACAGGTGACCCCTTGACAAAAATTTCGGTGCTGTTGTGGGAGCCTCATTTTCTGGCAGTATAAAAGATCCATCTGAAACAGACGCTAAAGTATTTTTGATTTAGATATAATTATAATTATTATCGTCGTTTTGTTTATTTAATATAAAGTTAAGCCCTTACATGGAAAACAATAACTGTCTCTACTTGTTTCTCTTGCCTCTTTGGAGGTAAATTGGAAGATTTAGATCTACCCATAATACCACATGTGTATTTATATTGCACTATGCAACCAATAAATGTATTAACCCTGGCCATTGACATTCCCAATCGAATACAAGTAACAAAAAAGCTTTTTCATTTCATTATTTCGAAACACAATCGATTAACTGATCTTGTAATATATGACAAAATGAATTTATATTTGGCAAACCTTATGTACTTACCTCTAAGTGAAATCGTTAACGCTAAAATACAAATATAGAATTGCATAGTCTGACCCTTTTTGCAAAAGTATGTAATCTGTAAAAGAAAAAACAAATGTTCATTTAATATAAAGACTTATAAGTATTACCAAAAATCTAGTATGAGTACTCTAGCTGGGAGGGCCCGACCTGAACCCGCGCCGTGCAGTTCGCGCTGCGGCTGCGCTGACTTTCACCTAAGTCCCGCACTATGGGAAGTGCTCTTGTGATATATTTCGATGTTTATTGCCCGATCTCTATGTAACATGTTGGTCATAAGTAGGTTTAGTGAGGAATGGTGGATTTTTGATCGATTTAAAAAAAAAACAGGATTTCGATATCGATTTGTATCGATCCCATGTAAAGGCGGGTAGTTATCGATTATTTAAAATAAACTCGTATTGCGCGGCACTAGGAGTATATACGTTAAAATCGTGAAACACGTGAATTACAATGAATTTCCATTATAAATTTAATGCTAATCGAATGGTTACAATTAAGGCTTATAAACTGCTTTCCTACGATTTCCACAGTTATGCGTGGGAAAGGATTGAAATTAATGGTAATACAAATTTGTTGTTGAGCTTTATAACTGTTGAGCCTTAAAACGTTTCAAATGAATTTTCAAAAAGATATTTATACTTTTTATATTACACATAAGCGTGTACCGATTTGTCGACTGTTCGAATATTATTAAAAGAGAGTGCGCATCATATCTAACAATAACTTTATTCTTTTTTATAGTTGAAACTGCCTTTAAGGACACTTAGGTCAGTCCGAATACTATGTGTATATATTCAACCGAATCAAAAACGAACACTAAGCTAAGAGCTCCTATTAGAAAGAAGGTCCTAATAAAGTCAAGTGCTTAGGATTTTATCTATCCTCACACATTAATTTCGATCAGATTATATTGAACTTTGGTATATGTGTGAATATATATATACAAAGTCGTGTAATATTTATACATAAGCACAATTATATTTATTCTGCAGTATTAGACCGGTTAAAGCTAGCAGCAAAAGGTGTTAACGTTGAATATTTGCACACATGTATGTATGAATGTATGTACATACATGCATACCCTGCACTAATATACATTTACAACCAAGTATATACACACATATATATTTCGCAGCACTGCATCTGTTCTCACTTTTCCCATACATACATATGTATGTACGTCTACATATCGTAGGACGAATGAATATGTAGGGAAGGACATTGTACACATATGTACGTAATGAATGTAATGTATGTAGATACACGTGATGTACACCTTTTTCTATATAAACCGTTTGTTCTAAGTATATAAGCTAAATATTAAGCACCAAAAATATAAATTGTGGGTGTTCAATATATAATACACATTTTTATTCATTAAAATTTGAGTAAATTAGGCACTGGGCATATAAATCCACATACATACTTATGTATAGGTATATATGAATATGTACTTTTGAAAATACAATTAGATGTACATACATACAAAGTCATGCATATGTATATACTTGAAATTACATGTTCTTTTGCGATGTAAAATCTTACATACTTATGTATATACATGCACACACTTGTCAATTAGACACGAATAAATGCAAAAAATTTTAAGTAAATGGATATTTATGTATCTATATGCATAGTTGCACAGTACCTTTATTCGTATATGCATACATACATGCATGTAAGAAGTTTTTGATGCCTAATTGTTGGATTACGACTTACCATATTGATGTTCTTCGAAGAACGGATTCTTTATTCCATTAACAAATCTTACGTTTTGCTTTTTCACACCAACTTTTTAATATATTCTTATTATTAAGTAAACAACAATCTTTATCAGTTATAAAATAGACCAAAGTTTCTGGCTGACAAGTATAATTGTATTTATCCTTAACATTTTCAGACTCACTGCGCAAGCCCAACTTTGAAACGCTTTTACCTCCAAAGCTTTGAGAGAGCTTCACACGAATGACTTGTATTGTTGACTGCATGCCTTTATTAAAACAACTAAAAAATATTATGCAGACGGTACTCGACTATAAGACACCCTATAACCGTTTTTTATATACCTGATTCCATGGGAACTACCGGAAAGAAATTGGGTGTGTATGAAAATTTGTTTAACAGATTCATTTAAAGTTATATTCGATCCGCCCTCGTATACTATTTCATATACTATTTTTAAGAGATTCGAGGATTCGACCATAGTCCTGGGATGCATCGAAATCATATACTGTTTACTGGTTTCCGTTTTGTCATCCTTTCTCTTCATCCCGATAGATACTGCAGAAGTCAGTATATGGATGGTGAAGTGCTCCTCTAATCACCTTTATTCTGCTTGGTATTTTATTTTATTCAGAGGCCCGTGGGATTACATAAAGATTTTCCTTTCGTTTACTTCAGCGACTGATATAGTCGTGTTACAGTCGTCTGCCATCCCGTTGTCCGATTTATCTGAATAGTCAGGTACTCAAACAGTAGAGATTAAGTGACTTAAATTTAGTTTAGAATTGTGACAGTCTAGGGAATAAGCTTGCTTTAGGAAGCTTGTGAAGATAGATCCGTAGCATTCATACGTTGGTTAAAGTCTCTTATATATATATATAGATAGTTATATAGTATATATAGTATAGATAGTTGTGTTGCATGGTTCTCTGAAAATACGCAAGTCCGGTATTTTGTCCTACCGTCAGTTGACACTATTATGTTCAGAAACACGATAAAGGGGTCCTTAGATTAGATTGAATCAGCAAAATCTGCATACAATATAAAAAAAAAAAAAACAAGTAAGAGGTTCTAGTTGGGAGCTCCCGACCCTAAACCCCTAGGATACCCTGAACCCTATTCTTCCAACATCAAATGCATATATATATTCTCTTTTAGAAGCTATATGCCAAGTTTGGTGACTCTAGCTCTTATTATTTACCAAAATTGCCCAAAAAACAGGTTATCGATATAAACTTTTATCGATTGCTTGGAAACGGAGTAAGTTATCGATTATCGGAAACAAACTCGATCTGCGCGGGAACTAGGAGCATCTGCATCAAAAATTTCTCTAGCTCTTATAGGTTCTGAGATCCTTGCGTTCATACATACGGACGGACGGTCGGACGGACAGACAGACATGGGTAGATCGACTCGGCTATTGATGCTGATCAAGAATATATATACTTTATGGGGTCGGAGATGCTTCCTTCTGCCTGTTACATACATTTGGCTTTCGCACAAGTACAATATACCCTTATACCCATTTTTAATTGGTTCAGGGTATAAAAAACTCAGATGAATTGTTAAAATAACTCAATTAAAATGTTTATTCCTAAATATAGTTCAATTTCAATTAATCAACTTTAAAAAAGCCTATGTAAACGAGAAAACGTCAAAACGTGTTTCATTCCAACTTGGACCGTGAATCGTGACAATTTGTGATGGGACGCTACCTTGACGAGTATTTGCGGACTCGTTAGGCTTGCAATATAATGTTTACTTATGGCTTAGCATTTGTTTTTAATAAATGAGTGCATTAACATTTGTGTTTGTTATTAATGCAGTCTTCGCCCTTTTTGTAGCTGAGTGTGCCTTAGAAAAGGCAAGCTCCTCGTCTTCCAATGAAATAAGATTTCAGGCGAAGACCGTTCCTAATGAGTTTATTGTTACCTATTATTCAAAATACTATACGAGCGTGCGGATATCGTTCATCCAGAGAAGGCTGTCGAAGGGAAATGTACGTATATTTTAATCTCATTACGTTTAATTAACAAAATATGTTTTCAGGCATTGAAGTGGTCAATTGTACCACGTCACAATTTAGCTGCGCAATATCCAAGCGACTTCGACATCTTACATATCTCGGATTCCAATGGCACTTCAATTAAAGAAACTCTCAGCAATGTGAAGGCTCATCCTGCTGTTAAAGCAGTATTTCCTCAACAATATGTCCAAAGATGGCTCTCATCCAACAATACTGATAGTTCCAATTATAATACTCGCCATCTCCGAGGAGTTCCTCGGGAGAAGCGCGTGAGGGCCGGAAATGCGCAGCACGTTTCGGCGTCTTTGCACGCGGACGTGCTTTGGAAGCTGGGGATTACCGGAAAGGGTGTTCGGGTTGCTATTTTTGACACCGGTTTGACCCAGAATCACCCGCACTTTAGAAATGTCAAAGAGCGAACAAATTGGACAAATGAGAAATCATTGGACGACGGCGTTAGTCACGGTACTTTCGTGGCAGGTGTGATAGCTTCCTCAAAAGAATGCCTCGGATTGGCGCCTGATGCTGAATTGCACATATATAAAGTTTTTACAAACTCGCAGGTGATTGTCAAATAGTAACATTCTCTCTGATTACCTAATGTTTGCGAATTACAGGTATCTTATACTTCCTGGTTCCTAGATGCTTTCAATTATGCCATTTACCAAAAAGTGAATATTATCAATTTAAGTATTGGCGGCCCGGATTTTATGGATTTGCCGTTCGTCGATAAGGTTTTAGAGCTATCAGCAAATAATATAATAATGGTATCGGCAGCAGGCAACGATGGTCCCATTTACGGAACTCTTAATAATCCGGGTGACCAAAGTGATGTAATCGGCGTAGGTAGCATCAATTTCGATGATAAAATTGCCAGATTTAGCTCTAGAGGAATGACAACCTGGGAACTACCATTAGGCTATGGAAGAATAGGATTGGACATTGTCACGTATGGTAGCCAGGTTGAGGGCAGTGACGTCCGCATGGGCTGCAGACGGCTATCAGGAACCTCCGTCTCATCACCAGTTGTTGCAGGAGTAGCAGCTTTACTTAGAAGCGGGGCTTCGCATAAAATAGATTTAGTTAATCCGTCATCCTTGAAACAAGTTCTTGTCGAAGGAGCTGAAAGGCTGCCAAATTATAACATATTCGAGCAGGGACAAGGAAAGCTTAATTTGTTGAAAAGTATGCAGCTGCTATTATCGTACAGGCCCAAAATAAGTTTAATTCCGTCTTCGCTTGACTTTACATCGAACTACATGTGGCCGTATAGTAGTCAACCCTTATTTTATGGCAGCACGGCCGCAATTGTTAATGTTACAATTCTTAATGGGATATCTGTGACTGGAAAAGTTCTTGGCCAACCAAAATGGATACCAGATCCAGACAATTTTGGGCGCTTCCTCAACATTTCAACATCATTTTCAAGTACAATTTGGCCATGGACCGGTTGGATGTCACTCTACATTGGTAAGGGTATAGCATACCACCAAAACTATCTCTATCTTTTAACTATATACAAATGTGAGCACCCTAAGATCTAAAAAGAAGAACATAAACATGAAGGGGCAGTTCTCTTCGGGTAGCCGAAGATAACATAAACATGAAAGAAAAATTCTCTTCGCCTTGCCGAAGCTTGAATGTTCTTTCACACAAATATATAAAATCTGCCATAGATGATACAGAGTAAAGTTGTCCGATGTTGATGTCATTTTATACTGCTTTTTGTTGGAGATGTATTTTGATGCATTTGTTGGTACGATGCAGGGGCATCCAGGGGCTTATAATCTAGTACCACGGGTAATCAGAAACCCACAGAACTTAATCCGTCCAAGAGAATTATGTATTAACATGTGATATCATATATTAAGACATTTAAATAAATATAAAAAATAATAATTAAAAAATGTTTATTTTTTCTTTTATCACAGTTGTTAATAAGGAAGCACAGAACTATGAAGGCATTGCCAAAGGACGTTTAATATTATTGATAGAATGTGTGCCAATTGGTACAAATAAATCTCAGCAAAGTGAAGTAGATTTACCTCTCACAATAAAAATAACACCAAAGCCGCCGCGACATAAAAGAATTTTATGGGACCAATTTCATAGCTTAAGATATCCGCCAGGTTATATACCAAGAGACAATTTGAAGATTAAAACTGATCCACTCGATTGGAGGGCAGACCACATTCATACCAATTTTCGAGACACGTATATACATTTAAGGAACTCTGGATATTATATTGATGTCTTAAGGGAACCATATACCTGCTTCAACCCACTTGAGTATGGGGTGTTGTTAATCGTAGATCCCGAAGAAGAGTTTTTTGACGATGAGATTTCAAGTCTTGAACATTATGTTTACGAAAATGGCTTAAGTGTAATTATATTTGCGGATTGGTATAATACAACAGTCATGCGACACATTAAGTTTTTCGATGAGAATAGCAGACAATGGTGGATACCTGATACTGGTGGGGCGAATATCCCGGCCTTAAACGATCTTTTGAAACCGTTTAATATATCGTTGGGCGACTTTGTTGGAGAGGGACACTTTAAATTAGGAGACCATTCAATGTATTACGCAAGTGGGACAACCTTTCTGACATTTCCAAATAATCAGGACGATGTGGTTATTGGGACAAACTTAAACGATCAAGGGGAATCGGTAAATAGTTGTCATCTAATTACCTTAAATTTTTATTAATATCATTTGTATATTTAAGGTTATCACAAATGGAAAATCACAAAATTTGGACGTGAAACAATTTGTACCCATAATGGGATTATTTCAAACTAATCTCAAATCCCGACAACCTGAAAATATTAAATATCAAAGGAACTCTCCAGTGGTTGACGATAACCCCAAACTTTCTGATATATCGTTTGACCATGCAATATTAAAGAATCGAATTTTATTGAATGAGAAAAGTGAGAGGTTCGCAGAAGGTCGCATTGCTGTCTATGGGGACTCAAATTGCTTAGATTCTTCCCATATGGAAAAAGCATGTTTCTGGCTTTTGACAACTATTTTAGATTTTGCAATGAACTCCCACAAATCAATGTTATTAGAGAATTTAAATCGAATTTCGGAATTTAAACAAATGAAGAGCAAGCCATTACCCATGCGGATATCAAGTAGCAATTTAAAAAAGTTTTCAAAAGTGATAAGATATATAAAAAACCCAAACTCACGGTGCGAGAAACTAGAATGGATAGTTGGAACAACATTAAATATTAGCAAAAGGATAGAACCTAATCTTGATTCTACCGAAGGTAACATTTTATAATATTTCATATTCTATAATAAGTTGAAATATACTTTTTATTTATTTCAGAAAATCAAAAAAATAATATTATTATTAATATAAATACTGAGCTTGCCAAAATAACTCTAGACAATGATATGCGTTCTGCTGACCAAATCGACTTTAATATAAATATATCCGTTTTATTTATGATAACACTCAGTGCAACTGTTCTCATAGTTTTCATACTATTTTTAAAAGGAAAAATTGCATTTCATTCGTTTAAATAAAATAAAATACTACGACATATCGAGTACTGCATCGACGTTTTCCAAGTATTGAATTTGAATTTTGCTAACGCTAAGCTTAAATCGCAGTAGTTATTTTTAATAACTACAAATGTACAATAGGAAAAACGAAACATATATATCGCGGATATCTTCGGCACGCCAAAGATTTAATACCCTTGTTGCATATATTTGTGTATAGTGAAGCTCGTTAATGCTGAACATCCAGGACGCGTATCAGCACAGAGTCAAAGCTTCGGAGGATACCAGGAGCTACAGGACATTGGTGGCCACAATATAGTGTCTAGCAATAATACTGTTGGTGTATTCTGTGGAATTACAAATGCGTTTCCTAGTCGTATCAGTTCGGTAAGACTGAATACGTGTGTATCTTGAGCGAACCCAGCAACAATTAAGCGTATCGGTGTCCCAAAATGATCCCCATGTTACGGAATTGTCACACGTCCGACAACTGTCGAAGAAGCGCGACCAGCGTCTAGAAATATAGCGACCGGAAATGTTGAGTCTGGACCTAAATTTTCTCCCAAGAGTTGGTTAACCGGAACGACTAAGAGCATTCTTTTGAAGCAGATTATCGCCATCGAAGGACACTGGACTTCTTGGGAAGCATTTTCGCCAGTTTCTGAGAATAACTTTGAGAATGGTAGCTCAAATATACATAGAATAAAAGACTTCCAGACCTGCACGTATATGCTCGGCCATACAAATTTGGATACGCTAAACTTAAGGGCGTTGCGTTTGAGTGCCGCAAACTGATGCTTTATTAATAAAGGTTGGAATTCCGTTTTCAGCTTTAGTTGCCATTGTTCCGCTTAATTTATTTTTTTTATAAAATAATTATTTTTATAGCCCGATTACAATGCGAGCATCATTAGCTATATTTTGAACTTCCGTCAGACCTTTGTGTCTATATCTACATATACAATAGGTTTTGTCCTAACAGACAGACTGATTGGTCAGTCTTTTCCTCCTATATCAATGCTTCGGGCGTAAGAAATTGTCTGGTTACATAAAAAGATGTTCTTACCATTCAAGAGTTCAAAAAAGTGTACATTAAAAAATACTATATTCCAATTCTTATTAAAAATATAATTATACTTGTATAGTTTTATTTCATATAAAATCAGTAGAAAAAGAAACAGAGTCATGGCCAAAGTTAAAATCTATGATTTTATACAATTAATATGTCATTCACTACTATATTTTCCTTGCAGCGGAAGAAAGTCTTCTAATTCCGAATCTTCAATTTCACAAAGTCGAACAGAGATATTGCTGTCTGAACCAGTTTTACCGGCCGCATATGGAAACAGATATATTTCCTCAGAATTTCCTAAAATAAAAAAAAAACGTTTTGGTTAGGCATATTTTTCTATAAAGTATACGTGTTAAGTCGGCTCGATGTAGGGCTTCACATCGGCAGTCGTCCTTTTGGCATACTAAAAAATATCATTTAAGCATAATAATTTTATAATCCTTGTCCGTCGGCTTCATCATAAGGGCTTTATGATATACTAATGCGAACTCAAGATTTTGCCCAAGTTGTGCAAACACCTAATTTTTGACCGATCATCCCTAAGTTTGTTAGTATACGATATAGTGGTCCGATCCCGCCGATTCCGGCTTGCAAGCAAGTCGGGTCTATATACAATTTTAAGACGATAGCTTTTAGACAGACGGACGGACATGGCTATATAGACTCGGCTGTTGATACTATTTAACAATAACTATGCTTTGAGTAATCGGAGATGGTTCCATCCATGCGTTACGCATTGCATGATCCAATATAATAATATACAGGGATGAATTTATGTTGTAGTATGCTCAAATGACGACTACCGATGCGCTGTTGAAATGTAGTTAAATGAGTTATATTATCTATTTTAAAAATCCTGAAATCGAGTCGGATAAACAAGCACTCTTCATGAAATATATTGAATATTTGCAATTTCGTGCAAATTATTTATACAATTACCGCTAATTGCTCTTCTACTTGATAACTCTTTTTTAAGCATAGGTGTTTCGTTATTAGAGCTTTCCGCCTCCGTGTCACTTGGCGTATGTATCGTCGGCAAATATGAATCAGGATGTCGTAAATATACTTTGCCTGTTGATTATAGTTTTTTCAAGTTACAATTAAATAATTAAAATTGCTTTATTTTATATTTTTTATAAAGTGGATAAAAGCAAGTCGGGTAGAACCGACAGATAGATAACCTATACTCAATTTGTCCGTTTACTACATTAATAGAATGGGAGGGCAGCCTTGCCTAGAGCTCATAATTTATTTATACTCACAATTTATTTTTTATTAATCAAAAACGTTTTCGATTAATCGAATGGAACTTTTGTTTATACAAAACAATATTTAATACTACAATGGTCAATTTAAAAGAATGTGGATTTTATAACGAAAGATCTTTTCTATATTTGGACACCAAAAACTATAAATACATATAAGTCAATGCAGGCACGTCCGTCTGTCCATATCTTCATATATAATGTGTCCGAACTGGTAGGTTACCTGTCTATACGAACTCGTCGATCTCGAAAACTACAAAAGCTAGAGACTAAAAATTGAATTTTGAATGAGGTCAAAGATGTTGTCTACATTTTAGTTGGATACACTCTGTATTTGTGTTAACGTTATGGGCGAGTAGGGTGATAATGTGGAATATTGGAGGCATTAGCAATCCATTTTATAATATCTCAGAAAATTGATAATTTCGTTAATAAAGGAAGATGAAAACCATAATTAAAAGCTTGACATTTAAACGCTGACAAACTTACGCAATCGATTTGATTTTGATTGGAAAGGCACTGAATGCATGAAAATATGTAGGTTTTGTTAATTATAAAACAATTAATTAAAGGGTGTAAGGATAATCATACCTGTATTTAGTTTGTAGTCTTCATTCTCGCTTTTATTAAATGAACTTAGCCTTGAACGGGATTCATTGCTTAAATTCGGCAACATAAATGGTTGAATACAGCTTTCTATCTCCGAATCCCCATATTCAAATACCATGTCTTCATTTAGAGCAACTATATCTCTAGTTGGATCGATATCTTCTACTGCAATATAAAGAAATTGTAAGAGTCGATGTCTAAGATTTGGAAAGACAGCTTGTCAACTTACCATGAACTAAATATTTTCGTTTTGATTTAGACTCATTACTGTCATTACTATGGAAGCTCGATGAGTCCGCGACTTCGGCACCAGGAACTTCTGTTATATCCGGTAATGGATTATGGCTTTTCCGAACCCAATCCGAACAGTCCCAGTGATATTGCCCATTACCAGCAGAATCAACAAAATTTGCGTTCGATGTGGAATGACAGACATTAGGCATTGCTACCTGAATTAGTTTTCCACTTGAAAGTCGATTAATTGGAAAGCCATAGTCAATTCTGCGTTCTGTAATGACATAATCTTCATTTGTAAGAAAACTGTTTGTTTCATTTATGAATATTTGTGTGAATACTAACCGTTATTCAGCTTATTCTCGTTAAATGTTTTTAAGTGTATTTGTTCGCACCACTCCTGCTTATGACCGCCGTCTGCGTCGATTAAATTGCTCGGATTTATATTAACATGCTGATTAGTTCGATTTACTTTTTGATATTCGAATGGTATATTTTCAAGCTCATCACCAGCGGAGCCGTAACTTCGTAATATATCTAAATTATTTACAAACGTCGTATTACTAATAAATAGGCTATCGTTTATTGGAGGCGAATAGCTTATTGGTCGTTGGCTGATTTCTAAATTGCTTATTTTAGCGTTCGATTTGCAAAGATTATCTTTGTCGAGAAGTGAATTAAGGTTCGCCTGCTTAAGAGAGTGCTTGTTTTTTATTTTTTCGTTTCGATTTCTGGCGCTTGCAGACGTGTTTCTTTTAAAAGCAAAGCAGACCAACAATATAATGATGATAATGAGTACTGTGGTGATTCCCGATATTATTCCACTTATGTGCTCAATTGAAAAGTTCTTCAATTTGGTAGAAATAGAATTCGAATAAAGAGGATCTCCGCAACTAGCACCAGTAAGAAACGAAGGACATATGCATCGAAAACTACCAGCTTCATTGATACAAGTTGCTCCATTTCCGCAGGGTTGGTTGTCGCATTCGTTTACGTCAATTTCGCAGTTTGGTCCAGTGAATCCTCGGCACATGCAATGGGACACACCGTCGCCTTCTTCGCATATTCCGCCATTTTTGCAAGGGTTTGGTGTGCAAAACTTTCCATATTCACATCTCTTTCCGGACAAGTGTATCGGACAAATGCATGTATAATTGCTGGGCAGTTGATTTTCACAGCGACCTCCGAATAAACACGGCGCTGAGGAGCACGGATCTAAATCAATTTCACATAATTCACCAGAAAAGCGCGCATGGCAAATACATTTAAAGTTATCATTTCCAAGATCTCTGCAAATGCCGCTATTCAAACATGGTTGAGTACCACAAACGCCCAAACTGACCAGAACATTAGCAGGATCACACTTGAACTCCACATTTGTAAATCTCTTTAGAGCTGCAATCGTGCTGCCTCCGGAAATGTATAAAGGTAATGGTTCCATGGCAATTTTAATGTTTGCCATACAACCAATAAAACCACGCTGAATATCTTCATAGCCAATGATTGATGGATGCGGTCGAACCTCAGCTCCCACGAAGATATCATTCGACTGAATATTCAATATGCCATTTACTCCTGGAGCACTGCCCTGGGAAACATGTTTGTTATCTACAGTTAGCTTGGCACTGTTGAGAGTTCGTTCCAAAGTTATGGTATGCCATGCGCCATCGGATATATAAATGCTTGATACGCTTACAACGCCTTCTCCTGATCCCAAGTCGAATTTGTATTTTACAGCTCCGTTTACAAGTTCCAAGACATTGTAATCCACTTTTCCGCTTGCATATAAAAGTGTGCCGCTTTGTTGTACTGTCCTGATTTGCAGAGAGTAGGCAAACTGATTTTCTAAAATGTTTTTGG